TTTTTTTTTGAGACAGAATAATTGTAACATTTGATTAAATAAAGATGCCAAAGGCTTTAGACACCGCTTGTTGATCCATCAGAAATATTCAAGACCAATAGTATTAAAGCTAAAACCCCCTGTTTAGCACACAAATCAATATAGGAATCTGAAAGTAGAATATCCAAGATATTTATATTTATACCACCGGTTCTAATCAGTCGTCCATGGCGGCAAATTGATAATTCAATAAAAATAACTATAAAAAAATATTTATTATTTTAAAATCGCGATTATCATGCCCAGCGTACAATATGTTGCACCAAAAGTTAAGCATCAGATATATATAGTTTCGGAGTTCTGATGTCATAAAAATATGTGAAGGTGCAAGACCTGGATTTTCAAGTTTCTATATTGAACTAGCATTCAGATGCGTGAATGCTGATCCAGATAAACTGAAGAAATTTATAAGATTATTTACTCTTGAAATGATTCATCAAATGATTATATAATAGATGACCTTGATATTCAAAAGAAAACAGTTTAATAAAATGGACAATTGCTGCAGCAATTCATCCAAATGCTCTTTATACTAGCAGATTATTAAAATTACAAGCCTTCCCCAACCTATGAATTCCAATAATGTAACAATTATTAGTAATAATAATGGTAATTATTGACATTTTAAAATTTACAATATTTATTAATACCCACTCTCGTGATAAATATTTTTTTATGCTCTCACAAATTGAACTATCTATGCCAGATGAATTGCCTAAAATAAATTAAATCTTGTTATTTATTTAGAGTTGATTTATATATACAAAATTAATAGATTTAACAAGCATATATTATATAAAAAAATTATATTGACGTATTGTCTGCTAATGATGTATGACGAAACTTTTGACTTAGTAATTGACGTAACTAAATTATTGATTAAAGATAGTTTCTCACCAGGGAAATTTTGACGATTTGACTAAGGTAAAAGCCCTTGACGTAAGCAAAAACACTTGACGTAAGTAAAAATACTTGATACAAGCAGCAACAATAATAATGATAAAATAAGTAAAAATGTGTGTCCCGGGATAAAGAATTATTATGTCATTATAGTTATCATGGGAAGTTTACAAATGTTATAATTTGAATTAGAAATTTTACCGCTTGTTTTTTTCCGTCGAAATAAAAATGCCTCTTCTTTCTTACAAATTAGAACTATTCGTTTATTATTACATTTCACATATGAATCGTGTTAAATTGATGTTTTTTCGAATTTTTGACTTTTGAAGTTAATTACGTGTAATAGTAATACGTAGTAATATTAATAATATGCTTGAGCTGTCTTTAATGTCTAAGTTTGAAGCAACATAGCTTGATCAATATTGGTGGTACTTAGAATGACCTTTACATAGCACATATTTTTGTAGGTTTTAATTTAGTTTTCTATTTTTATCAATTTCAAAGAATGCTGAAATTCTTTTATTGTTGAATCACTAGAATTTGGTGATGATGAAGTTGTTCTTTAAATAATGCAATTTTCACTTTTCAATTTACATCTTTATCAATTAATCTTGTTAGAAAAATTGTTGTATGAAAAATTTTTTGTTACACATCATTCAGTTCTCCGCAAAGAAAAACAAGTTTTTAAACGTTGATATTCTGGCACTATAATATTATAAAATCACACGACTCAATCACATATACATTCATTCAGAGCATCAAAATTAGCACTAAATACAAATCTTATCATTATTCATAATCAATAATACAATCTTTATTAAATATAGACTATTTCATGGCATTGATCGAGTAGTCTAATAAATTACAACAGAAACATATAAATAGATCCTCTACTCCTCAAAAATCGCAAAAGACGGTGCATTGATTTTGTATTTTACGTTGTATTCGAATTCGAGGGTTGAGGATTGATCTTTTTGTCCTGATCTTTTCCTCGTGTTTATTTATTTATCACAAATTAAAGGTCAATGTGTCAATTAGATTTTTTTTTTCAAGTCTATTATTATGGAAAGATAAACTTCACGCAAACATCAAAAGTTATTTACAAATTTCATTTGTTAAGAAACAATCAACTAAACTTTTTTTTTCTTAATTAAAAAAAAAAAATCCTTTGCTAAAAGAAATTAAAATTTTTCTTATCCGAATCATCCATTATCTCTCAAATGGTCAAAATCAAAAAAAAAAATTTTTTTAATTCAATACGAACATATTGTTTGTTTATCGATCATTGGGTTGACCAAAAATATACTAATACGATCCGTCCAAGGCCATAAGTTTTGGTTAGAACAAGACAAAAACTTAACGGTAGACAATGATAGACGCCACGCAAAAAAAACTAAAGCGAGACATGATTTTCTTTCAGTCAAGTATCTGCTTTGATCAACTCTGACGTACGTTTTGAACAAAAAAAAGATAAATTTTTCGGTTGCCAAATAGATAGCAATGGGAGTTCGCATGACACGGTGATATAAAAATAAACACAACTATTTATCATTTTCGGAAAACGAAAATATTTTTGTTCAAATTTCAATTAATTTCAAGCCAGCGCAGCAAAAAAAAAGAAAAAACGACTCATTACCTTTTGATTTTGAATTCATCCGTAACTGCACCGTTTCAAATCTTTTTACAACAGAATATTTTTCACCGTGCAACCAAACATTTCAAATTTGTTAAATTAGGAAAATCTATGACATTAGAAAGTAACTGTGACACAGAAACCTTTTTTTTATATTTAATCTTAACTGTTGTTATTATTCTCAAAAAAAAATCTCTCTCTAATTAAAACACAGAGTCAAATTTTATATTTATATCTTTACATAATGTCATTTATTAAACTATTATCATCGTTATCACTAGAAAGAAAGGATTTTGTATATAAAATTAATAATGAAATGTATAATAATGCTCTGGCTAATTGTGGTAAAGTGTAAAAAATTATTTTTTTTCATTGGTCAAAAAAAACAAGGAGCTTTCTGAAAATGAAAAAGAATTTTGTAAAGAAAGGTTTATTTATGAGCTTGAATTAAGTAATGCAAAAGATGAATCAGGCAAACCAAAAGAATGTAACAAGTGTAAATTGACAAGATACTCTGATAGGTTCTGTGAAGGTTGTATTAGTTTACAATT